GTCATTGTCCTCAGGGTGACAGACAGTCCCTTGGTCTTGTTTCGGGATGGTGCGCACTGCAGTCCCTTTCTGGTGAGTGTACCCAGAGGTCTTGTGCCAACCATGCACTAAATAACAATCCAGAGGCACAGACCGGGAAAGAGCTGGAATCCCCCGCTCAGGGGAGCAGGGTTGGGAGCAGAACACAAAAGCCCTGGTCTGCCGGGGCAGAAGACTTGGGGAAAGGCTCTCATCCTGCCAGTGGCCCAGAGAGCCAGAGCTGCTTTCCACGAGTGCCAGGCTCCTGAGGGCAGCAGGGCTGGTTCTGACCCACTGCATCAAATGTGTAATTTCAGAAATGTGATCACACTGACTTCCTGCCAGAGCTACAAAACCCATCCCAGAGGGGACTGGAGGGTCATTTTGTTATCTTTTTTTTTTATTCTGTGGTAGGTTGATTTTTTTCTTTTGAGAGAAGGAGATTTAATTTACCCAGTCTTTTCAATCAAAGAAATTGATACATTCACAGGACTAGTGATGGTGGTGGTGGCAGTGAGGAAAGTAATTAAAATGTCTAATGTTTCTTTCTTTCCAAAAGCACCAATCCCTAAATTGGATGGGTCCCAATGGACTTGAAAGCAGGCAAACTTTTAATAGAACTCGTATGCAAAGTCCAGCAATAGTGCTCTCATGCCCTGGTGTTAGTTTGTTGGGAGGAATTTTCTTTTCCAGGGGTCTGTTCTGACTCTGGAGAGCTGAAGGGTGAAGGGCTGGATTCGTTTGAGGTCTTGTAATAATATAGTACCTCAAACTGTGTCACTTAAAACAACAGAAACTCATTCCTTCACAGCTCTGGAGGCTCAAGTTCAAGGTCAAGGTGTAGCCAGGGCTGTGCTGTCTTGGACGGCTTTCAGGAGGCGCTGCAGTGGGGCTGCTGGCAGTGCTTGATGTTCCCTGCCTTGTAGGCGAGTCGCTCGAAGCTCTGCTCTGCCTTTCCACGGTGCTCATCCATGTCTCTGATCTCTGTTTCCATATTGCCTACCAGTCATGTTGGATTCGGGTCCTTTGCCTTCGGGATGGCTTCATCTTAACTACACTGCATCTCCAAAGACCTAATTTCCAAAGAAGGCCAACATTCCCTGGAGTCAAATTGTAATATTTGTATATTTGTAATATCTGTAATATCTGGGGGGTATACAGTTCCCATAACAGGAGCCACAGTCTCAGGTAGAAAGAAGAAACAGGGGAGAAGACAGGTCTGTCTTGGGAGGTAAATTACCTGGGCTCCCTGTGAATTTTGGGACATCAAGTCTTAGCCCTAGAGCTTCTCAGATCTGGGATATCAGACTGGTCATTCAATGCCAACAACAGGTGGTTAAGAAAACGGGAGTTCTTGCCGAGAGCAGATGTCATCTTTAAATTAACTTGGTGACATGGTAGAAACAACACTCAACTTGGCGTCAGAAAATCTGGGTCCAGTCTTGCCAAACAGCTCACCAGCTCCGTAACTTGGGACTATGTTAATAAACTCCTTTGGTCCTCAATTTATATTTCTACAAAAATTGAATAAAAAATGATTTCCACCCACTACAATTTTATAACAAGCTCAAGTGAGAAAAGGGGTGTGAAAATTGTAAGGTATTGAACAGTTTTTTTCAATAAGTGAAAATTTTCTTTCTCCTCCTCATCCAGGGCAGAACTTTTAGTTAACCCATTTGTTGTTGTTGTTGTTGTTTGTTTGTTTAGAGAAAGAAAAGGTTTTTTAAGGAGAAAAGGAACAAAATAATGGGGGACTCTGAGGCCTGTGGAACCAGGCTGGAGGGGCAAGGAAGCCTGTATTTTAAATGTTGATCTGTTTGTGTCCACACCAGGAGTAGCAGACATGAAATACAGGTGGGCTGGTTCTAGCAGCTTCTGTGGTTCTAGAACCCCAGGGGATCAATCAAAAGCTCCAGACACTTTAATTTCTCAGCACCTGAAGCTTCTTGCTGAAGCAGATTTTCATGGATGGGTAGAGCCCAACGTTTCTGTCAAGCTTAATAAATAAGTCTTATGGTGTCAGGTGGCCAAGAAAAAAGTCTTTGTCTTGATGTCCTCCCTGCTTCAAAGCCTCAGAGAAGAATGTGCAGTTGCTTGTCAATGATGAAATTAGCAAGCTCCTGTCACTCAAGACAAGAGGTGAGAAAGCCCTGGAATCTGATACCAAATGCCACTGAAGAGGATATATTTTACACAACATAAAAGGCTGCAACGTAAATTAGAAGAAATATGGGGAGCCTTCAAAAAGGTAGGTCAAACTTTTTCCTCAAGCAGATAATTACAGGCTGGGGGTGAGTAAATCTTATTAGCCTCTCTCCACCTCGTCTCTTCTCATAAAACACCAGTGAGAAGAGAGCCACACTCAATCCAGGAGTGGACAGCTTGCCGAGAGGGCCGGCCTGCGCTGTCCATCATCGCCCCAAGCTCTAGTGCCAGCGCTTCCCTCTGGCCCCTCCCGCCACCTCCTCAAATGCAGGTGAGCACGGCCAGCCGGGATCAACACCCCTCCTCAAGTCCAACCTCAACTTGCCGTCGTTTGGGTACAACTCACTGCAGAACTATCCCTTCAGGCGGCAATTTTCCAGTCAAATATCTCTGCCCAAGTTTGAGGTCTTAAAATTAATGAAGTTGTTAACATTTCTTAAAATGTCTTTCGAGGGAGTTGAAGGTGTGGATTTATCACCCATGAGCCTGCTGGCCTCTCTGGTTCACAGAGACACTGGGCTGAGTCCCCAGACTCCCACCCATGTTCTTCAGAGGTTCAGAATCTTGGCCATGACTCTACCTTCTGTTTGCTGTGTAGGGTTCTTGGGATGAGCCCCCAACCACTATGCTTGGGAGTGGGCCCCTAGGGACACCCTTTGTGGCAATGGGCTAGTGCCTAGGGCATTATTTCCTTGGCTTATGAGCTCTGAGTGGACAGAACATATCTTATCCAGTTTGGTATTTGTCTGCCTTCACATCTGGCGGGGCACCAGGGGTGAGGGGGGAGGCAGGGAGTCTGTATGAGTCTGCAGAATTAAGTACAGTTAGATGAAAAGGTTCTTAAGTTACGGCCACACTTGGTCAAGAAACTACTGATCAAGAGTCAGCTCTACCCGCCTTGTGAATCAGAAACAATAAAGATGGCAGCCTCACCCAGCACCTGGGCACAGGCTGGCCAGTGGTTTGATCCTTTCCCATGCTAAGAAGTGTGTAGGTTGCAAGGTGTGTAGATTGCAAGGAGAATTTGAAAAGGGTCTTGGGAATCGCTCCCAGGTGGCTTGCCACTCCACCCTCATTTATAGGTGAGAAAGGTGAGTCCCTGGGGAAGGAAGTGGTGTGTCAGGATCATGAAATGCAGGGTTAGAAGATTCATAAACTAGTAGTTTTCTCCTTTCAACCTGCAACCTCTTTCTGAATGCTCCACAGAGAACAAATGCAGTGCCCTGGCCTCATGCAGCAGGTAGACCTGCTCTTGTGGACATTCTGCCTTTTATAAATGTTGTCATCCTGGGGAGAGAGTGAATGACTTTTAGGGCAAATTAAAAAAAGAAAAAAAGTCATCCAATGACCAGTTGTATTGCAAACCTGGTTACAAAGCAATAACGATACGAAGGACCACATTTCCATTATTTATAGCTCCTTGCCTTTATCATTAGATGGCACTCAATGTCTGGCTTAAATAAAATCAATAAGTACTCCTTATCTGGAATCTCCTGACAACTTCTTCTCCCACAGGGAAGGCTTAGGAAACTTCCCAGCAATCTCAAAGTGCCCTAGGGTTTTTGATACATTTATAGTTCCAAGTTCGAACCAAAAGGTATGGTTAATATGAACCAAGACTAATTATGTTATGGATGAGGGACAGCAGTGACTGGGAGATTTCTGTTAGGTGCATTTTAAAAACCTCTGGCCCAAGGGCAGAAACTGAATTAACAGGAATAAGTAAATATGCCCAAGAGGGAACCTAGAACTCAGAGCTGTCCAGGATTCATAAATAGTTAATTGAATCAGGTCTGATGAGTGTGTTCCATCCCTGGAGACCTGCTGCATTCATCCATCATGCATAAGCCTTGATGAATGTCTTCTGGGGGGCAGGATAAAGTGAGGAGCAAACACAGCTTAGTGGCTGCCCTCATGGGACTTACTTTAGAAGATTTCAGGAGAAGAAAAATGCACCTCTAAATACATCATCCCTCCTCCAAGCCTGCTCTTTCCACTGCAGAGACCCAGCAACTATGAGCTTTTAGGATGAGCATGAAGAAGGGCCCTACACCATAGAAACGAGACCTCCTGAGGCTAAAGGCCCAGTAGGCCTCCCTCAGTGGCCCCCTGGGAGAAAAAAAAAAAATGAACAGAAAGGAAGAATTCTGGTTTTGTAGTTAGAGAATCCACTGTGTGATCTTATTAAGCTCAGTTTCTATGCCTGTAAAAATGGAATGGAACCTGACCTCCTTACCTTGGAGGTTTTTGCAGAATCAAATGAGATGAAACAATATCCAAGAATGTGTCTGGGGACATGGAAAGAGCTACCCAAATGTAAGGGAGTCATGTTAGGCGTTCTGGAAAACTCAAGACCTTCAAATAATAATCTGCTCTCAAGAGCTCGTCTTTGTTAGAAACACTCACGGCTTAGGACCTTATACCTAGAAAATGACAGTGAAATGCAAACAAGCACTGCAGCTGATGAGGGGAAGAGGACATCTCTCTAATGCCAGCTCCCACAAAGACTTGGGCAAGGGTAGGGCCGGGGCTATGGCAGCAGCAAAGCCCTTGGCTTCCCAAGGATATGGAAGGCAGTCGTTTGTCTGCAGAAACCAGGCCTGGGAGAAATGACCACTGGGTGCCAAAGGAAGGGGTTGGGCACAGAAAGATTTCCTCTGTGTGCAGGGGGCTGAAAGATCCCCAGGAGGCCAGGAACCGCAAACTGAAGAGCACAGTTTCCTTAAGTATGTGTGGAGGGTTGCACATCACAAATGAATTATCAGAAGTTTACATACCGTATCGGCTGCGATGAGACAGGAAAGGGAAGGAGTCTTTCATTATCCAGGTCAGGTTCCACACAAAAGAATCAGGAGGAAGAGAAGGCTTATTTGTCGGTGGCTCCGAGGAATGGTGACCTGGGCATAAAAATAAAGAGAATGTTGATCCATGTGTGCTGGGGATGTTGCTTGGCTGTGATGTTGTCATTCATAAAAGAAAATTCATTAAGGAGATTCCATGTCATCCTATGGAAACTGAGGGAAAAACCTGAGAAACGGAGTAGCCTGACTTGACCTCCATACACATTTGAAGCCAGATCTGAGAAGTTTGAATCTTGTGACCAAGGTCATACCTAAAATCTCAGAACAAGAACAGAAACCAGGTTACGTAATGGTTAATCCAAGGCTACTCTGCCAAACAGCTCTATCCAGCAACTATTCTGCCTAAAAGAATTTGTGCAACTTTGAAGAGAATTTCAATTCATTTCATCCAAATAATGTCACCACTCTATTTTATGTTCAGAACTGCAGCTTCACCTAATGTTGTTTGCTTGGGTTATTGCCTCATCAATGGGTGGGTTGAAATCGCAGAACTTACTTGCTTTGACAATTATGTTACTTTCAGGAACAACAACAAGAAAAGTCTAGATGATAGGTTTTCCCATAGCCAAGAGTCCAGGAAACCACAGAGGATTGTTTCAGATTTTCGGGAAAGAAAGAAGGACTGAAAGAAAAGGAGCAAAAGCAGCATTATTCCTTCATTGAATGGTACCTCAAATGGGTTTTGTATGGTGAAAAGTAATTACAATATATCTACAAATCAAACAAACACACACTGCTGCTCTTGCACACTTCTTCCCAGAAATCCCCCAACTCAATCGCTAATTTGCTAATATTTTATGGTAGCCAAAGCTGTTTCTGTCAAAGAAAGAAGGGTTTGAGAATCAATTCTACTTGATAGATGTGTAACAAGACTTAAATTATGGGTGGAGAGGAAGAAAGGAAGGAAACTAGAATTTCTTCTATGGAAATAAGCCAGGCACTGTTCTGGGCTCTTAACCTATGTCACTTCCCAAGGCATTCACGGGCTCTGGGAGATGAGCATCAGCACGTCCATTTTACAGATGTAAAAACTGAGACGCAGAGAGGCAAGTGACGAAACCAAGTTCGCCTGGCCTTGCAAACTATGTTGTATTATGAGCAGGCTGGTTTGCTCTCAGATAATAAACCTTAAACTACCTGTAGTGACTGCACAAAGAGGAGGAGGAACAGAGAAAGAAGAAAAGGAAGCAAAAGGGCAGAAGCATTCTTCCAGACTGTCTGCTTTGTAGATCTTTCCAACTCACCTCCAGCACCAGCTCCCCCAGGACTGACCCCTTGCCTCCACCCCTCCTGCATCAACTCCTCTTCACAAGCTCAAGGTAACACGGCCTGGGTGCCAAGGCAGTCTTTTCTTTGCCTCACTGCACTCGTGCAGAGCTGCCCACTGGACTAGATGTCCCTTAAGCTGGAACAGGATGCACCGTCCATGACCTCCTGCCTAAAAGAAACATTCTTATCTCTGACTTCCAAAGATTTGAGATGGCAAAGCTGACTCCTGGAAACGAGTTTTTACCTAGAAAAGAGTTTTTGACTTTTCTTTCACATCTGATTTCAAAGATCAGCACTGAATTGGCTGGTGTTAGATAGAGCTTTCTGGTAGCATTTCTACATAATAGCCCTGAGGGAAGGCACAGAAAGGGGTTAGAAGGGATGGTACTGTCACAATCAAAAAAGATAAGCTTGTGCCATTCACAGTAACATGGATGGTGCTAGAAAGGATCCTGATCAGTGAACTAAGTCAGAAGGGAAAAGAAAAACATCGGATGGTTTCACTTATAGGCGGAACATGGGGAAGCAAACAAAGGATCAAGAAAAAAAATAATGAAAAACACAACACAACACAACAAAAATGAGCAGACAACTATAAATCAGAGCATAGCAGGGGAGGGGATGAGAGATCAAAACGAGGGTGGACGCACACAGGGATTGCAGTGGTGGTGCGGATTGAAGTGGTGGTGGGGATTCCAGAGGGACTACACCTGAGGAAAGAAAGTAAACATGGTAAAAAAAAAAAAAAATGAACAGTGATGTAAGATATACATGTACACACAGATACACATACATATAAATTATTAAATAAAAAATAACTAAAAAGAAGCGATGTGGCCCTCCCTGGTGGCACAGTGGATTAAAGCACAGCATTGAGAATCTAAAGCCACTTGCAAATGAGTTCGATTCCCGCCTGCCCCGGAGGTGACCACAGGGCGTGGCAGACCTCTCCTGACCCGCCCGCTGCTCCCCTCAGCAGTGTACTTTGTCGATCTGCCTGTTCTGCTCCCCGCTCTGTCTCTGGTGAAGCCTCTCACCGCCCCTGAGCCTCTGGCCTGTACCCCAGTTCTGTATGCACAAATAAATAAATCTTAAAAAAAAAAAAAAGAAGAAGAAGCGATGCTAGTTTCCCAGAGAAACCACCTCATTTCACCCTCACACCCACTCCTGCTCCCCAGCAGGCAGTGGGGGCCAGGAGGAGGCCCAAGTGGCACGGATTTACTCAGGGACAGGCTTGGGTCGACCAGACTCCTAAACACTCACATTTTGAGGGGAGCACCTATGCCTAAGAGTGTGATTACGTTCATTCCCTGCAACAGCCTTGAAAGTATAGTTACTGGTCTTTATCTGCTTTTCATTATTTTTTTGTTTTATGCGTGTATTTAAAAACTTTTAAATGTAATACTTTTTCCTTCCACCGTTGTTCATCGGTTCCTTCCCTCATGGGTGGTCACTATAGCTCCCCGCCACAGTCTTTATCTCGTAGCCTGAGGCTGGAGCAGTCAGAGGCCCCGTGTCGCTGTGCAGCCACTGGGCAGGAAGCGGGGTCAGAGCCCAGCTGGGCTGAAGCCACACTCCTCGCACCACCCTCATGACAACCAAGGAAATATGCGGGGTGGTCTTCAGCCTGCTACAGGGCCTGAGGGGGGCACGGCTAAGGTTAGAGGTCACCACTGAGCACCAGGGGGAGGCATCTAACAAGACTCTGGCAACCAAACTCTACCATGCCCTGAGTGCCAAAACTGCCATTTCTGAGTCACCAGTACAGCTCACATGCCAAATAATTTTGAACAACAGGGAAGTCTAGGTGCTGTCTCCCTGCGCAAGTGATGTCACTTTCCTGAACCGCACAGGGTGGGCACACCACTCACTTCTTCCTGGATGCGTGGCACCAAGCAGCTGGGGGGCACTTATGAGGGTGTGAGGAGGCACAGAGAGGCAGATGGCTGTAACGCGGGTGAGAGCCAGCTTACATGTGCAGGGAGAAGCGTCTGGAACTATTCAGAAGGAAAGGCTGGGTCACAGTCCACCAGGAGCCTCGGACATCGCTGTGGGTGGTCCCCCCAGACATAAGCTAAGTATTCTGGATCCAAAAGTGGCAGTAAAATGTTGGGCATCTTCAAAGATGGGGGATTTCCAGTGGAGGAAAGCGATGCCCTGAGAACAAATCCACACAAGCAAGAAAAAGCTGTGATTTTTGGTCCTCGGACAGGGAGAGTGCCAGGAGCAGGCCCCAGAAGCACAGACTGACGGGTGCTCGTTAAGAGCTCCTGGCTCCAAAAACGTCTATCATGGCCCCTGGGGAGAGGGGTGAGAAGGGAAGAGCCAGAAAAATAGAAGCAACAGTAACCAGAGGCCCATGTGAGGCCCAGCAGTGAGGCCCGGGACGGCACTACAGCAGAGTACCAATGGTCTCGGGACTGAGGGTGCGATCAGCTGACTGCAGATAGGACTGCTTGGAACATTGTTTTTGGTGATCTCTTGAGCTCTCCCAGGCACTGGAAGGTGTCCAGGCAGGGTAGAACCCCTTCCCTCCAGAGGCCTGTGACATGACTCTTTAATCAATGCACATGACACCAGAGTCCTCAGCTGAGCTTCCAGATCTTCATTCTCGTGATTCTCTCAGGAATAACCACAACTCCTTCGCTTCCGTCCTCCTGGACAGTTGTCCACGTGGTGGGGGAGAGGATGATGCCAGCAGGGGAGGAGCACACCTGGATGCCAACAAGACTCACGGTGAGTCTGTGACCGCAGTCTCAGCACCAGGAGGCCCAGCACCCCAAAGGGCTGGCTTCACCCTCCCTCCCTCCAGCACCACCACTCCTGACTTCTCCTCCATCCCCCTCTCCCCCCTCTGCCACATTCTCCGCTCGTCCTCTTGTTTCTTATTGCACTGAGAAAAGAGTAGCAAATTGACCCACTAAAGGGCTCAGTCCCTTATCACTACCTGCTGGAACTGAAATGCTGTCAACACTCAAACAGCGGCAGCCTCTCCACTTGGAGTCCTTCAACTCCCCAAGTACAGTCCACCTCAGGGCCTTTGCACGGTAGCACCTATTTCAGAGGCATGTGGTCATTCATACTGTCCATTCAGCGCTCTGCCCAAATTCACCTCTCAGGAATAACTTCCTACTATCCCATTGGAAGCAGCCCTCCCCATAAGTCACTCTTCCACTCATCCTATTTCTTGTCTATAACATGCAGATGCATCTCTGTGCCTCCTGCACGCACCCTGCCACGTCCCTGTGACTGCCACAGAGTAAGCACTAGGTAAGTATTAGCCAAATGACCAAAACCAAACCCTGAAGGAAGTCATTAATGCTGGTATTTACTAGGTGCTTCACTCCAGGCCAGTCACACTCTGCGGAACCTCAATTTTTTGAAATTACAACAAATATAATGTATTCTCCACCCCCCTTCAGGGTTCGAAGGGCCAGATGAGAACACATGTATGTGATGTATTCTTTAAATATCAGTCATGCCATTCTTAAAGTTTAATGCTTCAGTCTCTTGTTCGGAATCCAAAATGAATGGGAGTCTTGGCCCCATTCCTATACATAGGGATGACCAACACAATGTCCAGAAACCAAAAGCGCTCCAGAGAGCTGAGCTCCATTATTACTAGGTCGTGAGGACGCTGCCCGCTGTCCATGATCACCAGCCCGCCTTCAGCCACTTGCCAACGTCTCCAGTTCCAGGCTCTTTGGACACGTCTATTTGTCCCCAAGTTAGTGTATATAATATAGTGACTACATCAAACTTGCCTT